GTCACCAGAATCCCTTGGACAGCAAGAAGATCAAACCAGTCAGTCCTAGAGGAAATCAACCTTGAATATTCATTGGAAGGACTGATGCTGAAGCTGCAGCTGCAATACTTTGGTCACCTGATACGAAGAGCTGGCTCACTGGAAAAGACTTGGATGCTGGGAAAGATTGAAGGCAAGAGGAGAAGGGGACAACAGAGGACGAGATGGTCTGATGGCATCACCGACTCAATGGACATGAGTTTGAGCGAACTCTGGGAGATGCTGAAGAACAGGGAAGCCTGGCGTGCTGTAGTCCATGGGGTCGCAAAGAGTTGGACACGACTGAGCAACTGAACCACCACAACAGCAGGACCAGTGTCCTGAGACCCCTGTCGCCTGGGCCCCCACCACCCTGAGGATAGAAGCAGCCGGCCCCAGAGTCACCGCCCCAGCCCCGCCCCGCAGCGCTGGAGCTGCAACCAGAAACCCCAGAGCAACCTCACTTTTCTGCCTTCCACAAAAAACGACGCACATTTGGGTGCTTCCTCTTTTTACATTTCTCCTTCTTTAAGTCATTTACCAGAACACAGTTGATAAGGCAATAAACAGGTCAGGCAATTCCTCAGTGTGGACAGTAAGGGCTGGTCATACATCCATCACCGGATCCACAAGTTACTCCTGCTACAAGCATCATCTGCGCTGAACTCTCTACCCACGGCCACAGGGACCAGCGCTGACCAGGGGGCCTCACTGTCTGCCCCACCCAGAAGACGTAAGGAGAGAGCAGATGAGAACCTGTCCTCAGGCAACTTCTCAACCAGTGAGGAAGGCAGTAAAGAGAAATGGAAAGCATTCGCCACTTAGACATGAAAACCAGCAGCAACATAAACAAGGTTCTACTGTGAAGCACAAGGAACTGTATTTGATATCCTGAGATAAGCTGTAAGGGAAAAGACTATATAAAAGAATGCACATACAGTGTATGTATAACTCAGTCACTCTGCTATACAGCAGAAATTAAGACAACAATGTAAGTCAACTACATGTCAATTAAAAAAGGAGAGGGGCTTCCCTGGTGGCACTGTGGTTAAGACTCCACAATTAACCACAGTGGGGCATGGGTTCGATCTCTGGTCGGGGAAGTTTCACACACCGCATATTGTGCCCAGAAAAGGAAGTCTGTTTTTAAAAAGAGACAGAGAAAAGAAAACCAGTGGCAATAGATAAGTGCAGGTGGTTGAAGGACTGAAAAAGATGGCCTGACTTCAGGCCTGACTAACCAGGCCGAGCCCAGCCCCTGGCAGGCCAGGCCAGGCTTCCAAGCCTGTGGATGTCTTACAGGCCCTGGGCCCCCAGGCCAAATCACTCAGTAAATAAATAGCCAAAACACCTGTGCCATCAGAGGGCCCTCTGCCAATTCACACCAAATTTAAATGTGGGTATGAACCAACCCAAGTCAGTGCAGAGTTCCACTGACAACGGACCACAAAGACCAGGAACATTTTCCACACAGAGAACAGCAAACCAGCAAGGAATTTAGTGACCCATCAGTCCAGGGCTCAAAATGACCCCAGGAGACTAGGCTAAGTGCAGAACACACCAGGGGCATCCCTGTTTTCTCAATTTTGACAAAGACCTATGGAAAAGGCTCTCAAGTCCACAACATGAAAAACGGCCATGTGCACAGGAAGCCAGCAAGGAGCGGCACACAGGCAGCCCCAGCTAGAACGAGGAGCTGGGGCGGCCCGGGGCGCAGCTGGAGCAGCCTCGCGGAACAGGGCGCTCAGCTCCGGAGCCCCTCGCTGTCGTCCTGCCCCAGACAGGCCCTCCTGACACACCCTCCAGCAGCGGCCGCGCTGAGACGGCACGTGCTGCTCCTCCGGGCGGGCGGCGGGGGCGGGCACCAGCACCCATTCTCCTCCTCCCTCCTCGCTGGACAGAGCGGGGCGGCCCTACTTGGTCGGAGCCCAGGCACCGTGATCAGACTGGAGTGGGCAGCCCCAGCCGCGGGGGGCAGTTGTTTACACAGCACGGGAACAAAGCCGGCCATGGGAAGGCAGAGACAGAGCAGCACTCAGAGGTGAGCAGTTCCCGTGAAACCGACCTCCCACACGAGCCAGCACTCGCGATCCTAGGTGTTCTACCCACAGGAGATGAAAACTCACGCCCTCGCAAAAGCCCACACACAGGTGTTTACTGCAGCTTTAGTCATAACTGCCAAAAACTGGGCCCATCAGGAAGTCCTCTAGCTGGCGGATGGATACATACACTGTGGTCCATCCAGAGAGCGGAATATTATTCAGGGCTGAAGCTATGAGCGATCAAGCCATGAAAGGACACTGAGGAACCTTAAAAGCGTGTGACTAAGTAAGAGAAGCCAATGTGAACAGGTTACATACTGTCTACTTCCAACTACATGGCGTCTGGAAAAGGCAAGACCATGGAGACAGGAGAGATTAGGATCAGGTTCATCCACTGTTAACAAATGACCAGCCTGGTAGGGGCACCGCTGGGGTGGGCGGGGGAGGCTGCGCACGTGCGGGGCAGCAGCACACAGGAAACGTCTGTGCCTTCCTCGCAATTGTGCTGGGAACCTAAAACTGCCCTAAAAGACAACGAAAACAAAATCAAGTCTTTAAAACAAATGTGGCTGGAGTCAGAATCAAACCACACCTGAAGCTGGGCCTGCTCCGGACTTTCTGTTTGTCTGGGCCAGCCCAACCCCTTCACTGTGGAAGCTGGGCGGGCTGGGTTTTCTGTGACTTTCAACCTCCTGGACCCTAACCGCACACCCCTGCAAAGCAAGTGGACTGTGCTGGAGTCAGCCTGTAAGCGCCGATGGACACCGGCCCTGACACAGGAGGGCACCCATCCACACACCCACACAGGCAGCCCCAAGAGGGGCACATCGGGGCGCAGGCAGGACTTGGGGGCGCTGGGCTCCTGTGGCGCCAACACCTCCATGTGCCAGAGTCCTCACAGCTGAACATGTTCCCACAATCGGACAGTAAAGGGTACATACTACTAAAGAGCAAACTGAAGCGAGAAAAGCAAGGCTGCTGCTACAACGGGCCCCCGACCAAGAACTGGGAAGTGTGAGGGGTAGCACGTGAGAATTTCTAAAAGCAGAAATCAGGACTGAGGCCAGTTTGTTTTCCTCTGCAGCCCAGGCCTCAAATATAATCCCATTTTAAAACTGTTCTAATCAAATATGAAAACTTCCATGTTAAGTTTTAAAAGCTATTGTCACTTATTAGCCTTTCTTACCAGGATAATTTTATAGTATATTCTGTCTTAAAAAGATTGCTAAATCAATAAGGACAGTGAAGAAAAGGTGCATAAAGGTGCATAAAGATTACCTGAAACAGTGTATCTTTTTCCATCACATCACTTAAAGAATATTTAAACCCTCAAAAAGTTTAACCCTGTGTTTGTTAGAAGTAGCCAATCTCTCTACCACGGAAAGCCTGGAGACGTGATCTGGGCTTTCACGGGCTCCACGGGAGAGCCCAGCACCCAGGGATGCGTTCGTAGATCCACGACTGAATCGGCAGGGCCACAGAATCCCCAGCTCTCAGTTCTGCAGGCAGGAGTGTCCGGGACCAGCCACCGACAGGGAAATGAGTGAGAATGCGAGTGCCCACGGACCTCGGCTACGGGCCCCAGCTCCAGACCAAACACACCTCCAGCAAGATCACCGAAGCAGAACAGGCGACAGGCTTCCAAGCTGGCAGCGACTTCCAGAGAGCACCACTCCACACCTCCAAGGCTCACCGTGCCCTGTGAAAGGACTGACCACAGCTGAGGCGAGCTGGGAACTGAACACACAGCAGCACCACCCTTTCCTTGGCGGGAGCCGGGAGGCGCAGAACCCGTCCTGGAGCCCCCACTGCAGCCACAGGGAGTTCCCTAAGTGCTCAGACAGCCTGTGGCACAGCAGCCTCCTTGCCACCACCTCCCAAGTGGCCCAGAATTCTCTCCGCGCTGATGCACTCAAATGTCCTATCAAACCAAGAGGATCAAGTCTGCCACATAAACCCACCTTCTATGCAAAAGAACACAAATTTTACTACTAAAGGATAAGCTTTAAATATCATATGACTCCTAAGAATGCCAACGCTCCTAATGACTTACAAAGCCATATATTTTAGGCTGTTCTTGATAAGTCAGTCGGTTAGGTCAGTCGCTGTCGTGTCCGACTTTTTGCAACCCCATGGACTGCAGCACGCCAGGCCTCCCCGTCCATCACCAACATCTGGAGTTTCCTCAAACTCATGTCCATAGAGTCGGTGATGCCATCCAGCCATCTCATCCTCTGTTGTCCCCTTCTCCTCCCGCCTTCAATCTTTCTTGATAAGGTGCCCTCAAAATACAAATATTAAAAACATCTAGGGGAACTCCCCTGGTGGTCCAGTGGTTAAAAATCCGCCTTTCAATGCAGGAGACTCTGGTTCAATTCCTGGTTGGGGAATGAAGATCCCACATGCCTGGGGCAACTAAGCCCCCAGGGCACAACTATGGAGCCCGTGGGGCCAAACAAAGATCCCAGATCCAGGTTGGCAACTAAGACCTGATGAAGTCAAATAAACAAACAAACAAACATCTGGGACTTCCCTGGTGGTCCAGTAGTTAAGAATCCGCCTACCAATGCAAGGGATTTGATCACTGGTCCGTGAAGATTCCATGTGCTGCGGGGCAACTAAGCCCCGCTACGAAGCCCATGAGCCGCAACAAGAGACGCCACCGCGGGAGAAACCTGGGCTCCACAGCTGGAGGGCAGCCCGGCTCTCCACAGCCAGGGTAAACCCGAGCACAGGAACAAAAACACACACGCACACAAAATTTAAAAAGAAATGTAAAGACATCCAACACATGAGGAGGTATCGTGAGCAAAGACCAGCCCCACAACTCACCCCGGCTCCGGGAGTCCACCCACTCGGGCTGAAGGACAAGGCCTGTCCCTGGCTGCTTCTCCAGGTCGTGGAGGTGGGCACAGGACTGCAGGCCGTGGGTCGACTCACCTGAACTCTCTTCCTTCGCTGTACCGTCTACTCGAGGAGGCCCTCGGGGCGGCAGTCTCCAGGAGCAGCTTCTGCGTGAGCCTGCCGGGCGGAGCAGGGTCCCGGCCACCAGCTTCGTCCACCTCCCGGTCACACTTCCATTCCTCGTCTTCGTTCAGCGTGGGCAGGTACCCGGGGACACCCTTCCCTGCCCCTGACCCGGAGCTCTGGTCACTGCAGAGCTTCGGGCTCTCCGAGCCTGTCCTCGTATACTCCAGGTAAATGTCGGACTTGAGGAAGGAGGGGTAGGTGTTCTCCTCCATGGTGGACTGGACCTCCGTCTGCGCCTGGTCAAACATGGCGGGGTCGATCTGCTGCTTCGAGATGCAGTCCTTTATGAAGCTCTTGGTGGCGGGCTTGGTCTGCCGGGACACAATGCCGTTGTTATCAAGGATGTACTTGCGGTAGATGGCTCTGGCCAGCTTCAGCCTCTTCTCTTCATTCGAGTCACAGGGCTCTAGTTTCCTGAAGCCGCTGCAGGCAAACCAGAAGTCCAGGAGGTCGGCACAGTCCTCCTGTTTCAGGAAAGTCCTAAACAGGTTTATGCCATCTTGGTCGTCCAGCAGGGAGTGCAGCGACTCGGCCCACTTCAAGTACGGAGGGGTGGGAGACGCACTGCCCTCGGGCTCGTACCCCAGGTCCAGGTCCGAGCGCCTCGGAGTGGCTGTGGAAGTCTCCCCTTTAATCCCAGCGCCTTTCCCAGAGCAGAAGCTGTGGCTGACGGGCCTGGGGTCTGTGGACACCAGTTCACCCTCCTCACCAGGCACTGGGGGTCGGGGGGCATCTTCGGTGAAACTTGCTCCAAGGTCCAAGGGGAAACCCTGCTCTTGGATATTCATTTTGGGACTCTGTGCGTCAATGAACAATGAGCGCTGCACCCTAATACATCAGTACTTACGGCTCCAAAGTGAATCAATCTGTCCTGTTGAAACCATTAAGAGGACAAGGATTAGGAAAGGTGGGTCCATGGAAATATGACCACAGAGGCTTTCTCACGACAAAAGACTCGCAATGATGCCCTCCCGCTCGAACTCAAAGCCAGAAACTCAGTTTAAATGTTCAATCCTCTGTCACAAGGTTTTGTACTATGTTACAACAATTTCTGTAAACTTTGCCAACTACAGGAATGCCTCTGGCACAAAGAAATCAATGTCCAGAACACAGAGAGCATCACTACCCTTGAGGGTCCTTCTGTGAGAACAAGGACAGACTACAAGCCTGGGGACCCTCAATCCTGAGCTGCTATAGGACTGCATGGCCAGGCCCTCTCAAGCTCCGGAAAGGCAGGAGGGCTGGAGGAGGCACAGGAGCTTCTGGTCCTCCCAGCTGTGCAAAGTCAGGTGAGAGCCAGCCCCTCACGAGGAAGGTGAGAGTGTGTATCTCAGCATCACAGGGCCACTGTGATGCGCAGACATGGCACTCCACACCACAAGCTGGTGGCCATGTCTGCCCTCCATGCTCTTCAGGCCCATAGCCGCTCTGCTTCTCGCTTTCTACCGCTTCACACTGAGTGTCCCCACGACCCGGGCAAAAACACAACGACTTGTTCTTCTAAGTCTCAACACGGCCCAAATAGCAGGGAACCATGGGTCGCCTCACGCACCTTCAAGTGAGTGAGCAGAGGACTCCCATGCACAGGGGCCTTCTCACACTGCCAATGATGTGAAGGCTTTTATTTTTTTTGCCACACAGGGCAGCTTGTGGGATCTTAGTTCCCCGAGCAGGGAATGAACCCAGACCCTCAGCAGTAAAAATGTGGAGTCCTAACCAGTGGACCACCAGGGAATTCCCATGAACAGTCTTAAAAAAACACTTCCATCAGAGATGTGCTCTAGACTTGAAAACCTTGCTTAAAAGGAAAGTGTCCTTCTGACAGCAAATGGCAACTGAATACTCTGAGTAACAGAGATGGTACAGAGCAGACAAGGCCCAAACCCTACTAGCTAAGGAAGCATGTGGCTCACAGGATGCAGCTCAGTTAAGTGAAAGTCACGTGACTCGCCCTCTCAGAGTCAGGGAGCCATGGTTCTGTCTCTGCTGCTAGAAGCCCGTCTTGCACAAGGGAAGGCTGCCCTGCCAGGGCTCTGCCACAGCCTCGCGTCCTGTCCTCCCTGATACCGAGCCCACTGGCTCAAGCCACACCTCCCAACCTGGCCTGCCGGATGTAAGTGGCCTGCTTAGAAGGAGACTGGAGAGAAGCATGACAGGCCCAATCGCTGAGAGCACTGAGCGAGTCAGAGGAGCAGAGCAAAAGCCAAAATCCTGGCACCAACACAAGGCACAGACCTCCAGCCACTTCTCCACCCTCAGGCCCTGGCCTACGTGCAACCTGCCCCATACGTGGTCTGCACACACTCACCTGCCAGCAGCTGCCGACACCTCACTGCACCCAGAGGTGGGCACAGATCACAACTACTGTCCTAAGCTAGTGACTAGCCTACCGGGTCGGCTGCAATGTCGGCCTCGGCAGGAACAGCCTGCTTTCTCAGGTCAAGGCCCATGGGCTGTGACAGCTGCTACTCATGGACCACTTCAACAGCAAGGTCGCCTCCTCTGAGCCCCATCGACAGGGACTGAGCACCTCTGAGGTCTCCACACCAGCTCCCGGATGCCAGCACCTTCTTGTCGGGGTCACCATCTCAGGAAGGAGGACCCACACCTGGTCCCCTGAGCCATACTGCTGGAGATGCTCTATGGTTCACTTGCCTTGAGAAAAAACCAAGTCACCGTGTTCTAAGGGGAGGCTGATCACTGGTCAGTCACTTTCTCTTAAAGTGCTGATGTCTTCCAGGTAAACAACTTGGAGCAGCCTGGTTTAAACATTCTCTGCAGGGCCTACAGCATCTGACACAAGGTCTCACAACTAAGGGGCACCAACAAATATGTAATTCATGAACATTAAGGAAAACAACACTTGGCTCGGATGTGGAACATTAGCCCTTCACAGGTGTTGAAACAGCAGCAAGTTCAACATCGAGCTGTCTTTTCATTTGTGTGAAAGCAAGTCCCCCTAATCATTTAAGCTTTCTTCTCATAGCCCGGGAGAAACATTTCTTAAAATTCACATCTGGTTTTGGTTGTCAACTGACAGGAGACCGTCGGTGTCCCAGAAGCACAAGAACATCCCTCCACATTGCTGCTGTTACGAAACGCGCTGCCGTCACTGAGATCTCTGGGTTCCCAAGGAGGAGCACGGCAGGTGTTCGGTGTGCACACGCACACACCACATACAAAGACGCTGCCTTGCTGCAGGTGAGAGTCAAGGGCCCACAGGCACTGGATCTGGCCAACAGCCTGTAACCACCTTCAACAAAGGGGACTCCACAAAAGGAATCTACAACTCTGATGCCTCATTTACAATCTCCTTCAGTCATTGCCAAGGAGCACCCCCTGGGTACCACGGCAGCCAGCTCAAGGCTGTAGGTGTGTGTACATTTGTTTTACTCAAATGCAACTTCTGAATTTTTGATTCATGTGAAGTATGGAAACAACAGAGTGTGACTCTGACATACTCCCAACTGTCCGTTTACTAAGAATTGTCCTAAGAATTGGGACTACAGCTTTACATGTAATCTATTCCCCCACCACCTAAATCCTCAATGACCAACAAAACCCAAAAAGTCCACTTAGCTTTCCTGAAACCAGAAATCCAAGAAACATAAATACCTGCTAGGAATCAGACAGAAACAAACATCCTGTATGCTTTCCCATCCTTGTTCCTGAATAGAAGTTCTTAAAACTGAAACCCAGATAGTGCTATCTTGGGAGGTCAGGTTCAGACTGTGTGTGTTCTCCAAAATAAGGCCTGGTCCAAGGGTGTCTGAAGGTCTCCCTGAAGCAGCAGAGAACAGAAGTATGAGCACAAACAAGGGGCCAAGATGCATAATCACTCTTTATTAATTATCTTAGAGACGGGCTGAGAAAAATGCCCAGAGGACTAATGTATTTTTCTCTGCTGTGCTCGATGCTGAACTATGAGCATCACTGCCCTGACTGTACAGCTCTGGTTTCACAAGGGACTCGGTTCCCATGAAAATGGAGAGCAGACGTGGACTCTAAGACATTCCCCCGGGAGAGAGGCAGAGAAAGCTGGGGGGTGAGGCATCTACCTGAGGGAGTAAAGCCCCTCAAGCAAGCCAGACCACCCGGCCTCAGGCTCTGCCTCACGGGGAGTGCTTCCTCCGGTTTCAGATTCACTCACTCCTACTTTTTGCTTGGGGAGGCGGGGGTTGTACGGGGAGAACGGACCCTCCGCCATCCGGCTTATCCCCAGGATGCTTCTGCACCCACCACCCACTCTGCCCCGGATCCACGGATCACAGCACGGCACTCAGCACCATCCAATCAAACACATCAGCTGCACACCCCAGCCTCCTCCCGCAGTACCTTCCTTCTGAGAATCCTGAGTATTCCTCACCCCTTTCAGCTCACCCAGAGCAAGTGGCTGCCCGCTGTGAGCCGTCCACGGGCCCCAGAGTCAACAGGGGCCGACCCCTCGCCTTCGGCATCAGCTGCGAGCACCCCCTCCTAGACACACCCGCCCTCGCAGCGGTGGGCCGCACGCCTCCTCTCGCGCTCCGAGCCCTCGCGGCCCCGGACCCGCACGCCCCCCGAGCCCCTCTTCCGGGTCCCGCTCCCGGGCCGGCCCGCGCGGCCTACAATGGGCGCCGCACAGGCCCGCGCCCCTCAGGAATGTGCTCCGGACCGCGCGACTCACCCGCGCGGCGGCGGCGGCGGCGGCGGGGCCCCGGGCCCGGATCCCGGAGCTGCGCGGCGCGGCCCATGCGCTCAGCGGCGGCGCCGCGGGCGGGACGCGGCGGGGGCGCGGCCCCGGGCGGCCCCCATCGCAGCTGCGGCGCGGCGGCCCGCAAGCGGGCGCGGGGCAGGCCGCGGGGCCGCCGCCAAGGCCGGCCGCGCACTCCCGCCGGCCTGTTCCGCGGGGACGCGGCTCCGGCCCGACTGCGGCCGGTCCGGCGGCGGCGGCGGCGGCGGCGGCGGTAGTGGCGGCCACGATCGCTTCCCCGAGCGGGGAGCCGGAGCCCAGAGCGCCGAAGCCCAGGCCGGAGCGCCCCCGCCGGCGCCGCCCGGAAGTGCGGGGGCGGGGCCCAGAGCGTCGGGCGGGGCCCGGAGCGCGGGGCGTGCCGAGAGCGCGGAGGCGGGGCCAGGAGCACCTGACAGAGCCCAACGCGGGGACAGGGCGAGGAACACGCTGAGCGGAGCCTCCGGCGTGGAGGCGGGGCCTGGTGGGCGGGGCCAAGGCTGGGGGAGCCGGGCGTAGAGCGCGAGACCGAGCCAGAGCGCGAGACCGAATCCGAGCGCGAGACCGAATCCGAGCGCAGGGAATGGCCTGGAGCCTGGGGGGCGGAGCCTCGGTCGTGGAGGCGGGGCCTGGGTGTGGGCGTGGACCCTGAGCGTGGAGGCGGAGCCAAAAGCGTCCGGGCGGACGGGAGGCGTGACGCAGAGCCCGGCCGAGTGGGCGTCATCAGATATGTCGCTGGGGGCGGGGGCCTTGGTGGGGGCGGGGCCTTGGTGGGGGCGGGGCCAAGACGCCGTCGAGGGTGACCAAGGAGGGGCCGCCGGAAACTGCGCTGGTCCCCTGGGGCTGTGTCATTAGGGAGGGTGGCCCGAGCGCCGAAAGGATAGACGGCCCTCAGGCGGCCCCGCAGACGCATGCCAGGTCGGTGCCCTTTTCTGCCTCCCATACGGTGTCCACTGACCCAGGGCTCCAGAGGTCAGCACCCCAGGCCCGGCCCGCCCAGCCGGACTGCCACGCCCTCCGAGCTCCCTGACCGGGAAGACTCTCGGAGGAGGACGGCCAGCAAATGCCCCTGGCACGGAA